GGAGTGGGGGGTGTGGATTGTTTTTGTCCTTATTCCAGGCTCTGTCCCCTCCCCAAAGAACCAAAGTGGCTGGGCGGGACTTGAGGATGATTTTTTTGAGTATCCATCTAACTAGATTGACTGTGGCCTCTGACCCCACCTGGTGTGCATTGACCTCTCACTGGCAATAAACCTGGGTGTTTCATTGTCAACCCATCTTACAGATTGAGAAGGTGAGGTCCAGAGACCAGAGGTGTTTCACCCAAGGTCACAGCCTCAGATAGTGCAGGATTCTAAGCTTGGCTCTTATTTTTGTATGCATGTATGTGTGGGTACTGGAATTTGAACTCAGGACCTTGCCCTCTCTGGGCTTTTTCCCTTTCAGCTGAAGATCTACCACTTAAGTCACACCCACAGTTCTGGCTTGTTGCTGGTTGGTTGGAGATAAGAGTTTCTTGAGTTTGTCCACCAGGGCTGACTTCCATCTGGGATCCTTAGATCCCAGTCTCCTGAGTAGCCAGGATTATAGGCTTGAGCCACTGGTGCCAGGCACAGCCTGTTTGCAAACTCAGGGGGCTTCTCTTTGGCTGTCCTTAGTGAGGGGTGGCCTAGTTTTCCAGGTGGTGGGAGGGGCTCTCCTTAGAAAGTTATCTCTCAGAGGAAGGCCCAGGGCTCTGTCCAGAGCGCCTAAGACGCTCCGCCCACTACTTCCCACACTCCTCAGCCTTGTCCTAACTGGAGCTCATTCTCTTATCTCTGGACACTTGCAAGTTGAGGGGAGGAGCAACAAAGGGGTTCAACTAGAAGAATGAGGATAGTTTCTCTCCCATTTCCCAACCAGATCACACATTGTGCGGCCCGGGTGCCCTGGAGGTACATGGACCAGGCTGCATGATCACACAGCCCTTGCTAGCTCCATGAACTTGGCAATATTCCCGAACATCTCTGAGGTCCAGGGCAGTTATGACACGCTCTGCAATGTGGCTGTGAGCATTAGCATGAGAAAATGCAGCGTCCCACGGCTGCCAAATCGGAATTCTTGGGGCTTGTTGGTTGTAATTCCCAGCTGTCCCCTGGGTGGTTGATGCTGACCCCACCCTTCCCCTTAGCCCCGGCTCTCCCCACATCTGGAATTGGGTGGGTACATCTGGCTCTGAGGGAGACAGCTGTCAGGGACGCCCGGTTTGCTATGGAAACACTCAAGCTGTCTTGGCACTCTAGTCTAGAGAGGCGGGGATGAGTGAGGACCTGGCCCAGACTCCGGGCAAATCCACCCAGGCAGCCCCTGACTCTCCAAGAGTGAAAGGAAGCTACCCTAGGTCTTTTAACCCAGCAAGCGACAGATTGGGTAGTGTCAGCACCCCTCTGGGGCCTGGCAGGTGGCTACAGGATGAACAAGAAACCGAGTGCCAAGACCTCAGGGTGCTCACAGCCTTCCCTCCCTGAAGCGCCTCCAGGCTCTGCTGGGTCCGCCAGAGAGTCAGTCCTTTGTGTCTTGAGCTGCAGGTGCTGGGGGGAGCAGAGTGTCTGGGCAGTGGCGCAGCATGACTGGCCTGAGGTGGGGTTTCCTGAGCGAGAGCCTATGCTTGGGGGGAGTGGAAGGGAAGTTGGGACTCTGCCACTCCTGTATCTTCCTTCCTCCTTCCTGCCCTGCCCGCTCACCCTCCGCCTGCCTAGGATAGAGATTAAGGCAGAGAAATTGGCGGATGGCTCCTGTGCAGGTCTGGAGAGTCTTGACATGGAGACAGTGGAGGAAATGGGCTCATCTGGCTTACATCTTCAACCCAAGCCTTATCTCCCGAGTGCAGCATATAGGTTTCTCTTTGCTTCTCCTGATGCTTCTCCTTCTCTGCTCTCATGTGTCTGTGTGGCCTGATATGCATTTCCCCTCCCCAGAGACCAGAGGGCTATTTTCTCTTTCCTTTCTTATTTACAACTATGACATTTTTTTGTCGGTCGTGGGGCTTGAACTCTGGGCCTGGGCACTGTCCCTCAGCTCTTCAGCTCAAGGCCAGCACTCTACCACTTGAGCCACAGCACCATTTCCAGTTTTCTGAATGTGCTTATGTGGTGCTGAGGAATCGAACGCAGGGCCTCATGCATGCAAGGCAAGCGCTCTACCACTGGGCCACCTCCCCAGCCCCACTTCCTACCTTTCTTTGCCTCACTCTTCTTCACACCTGTAAAGATATCAAGGTGACCTGGACCTTGGGGTTTTTATTTTACTGTTTTTTTTTCCTTCTTCGCATTTTCCTCACCAACAAAGAACAGCCTTTCGACCTTAGTAGATGCTCAACAAACATTTGTTGAATTGAGTGAATTGCAACAGTCTATCTCAGTGGATCGCCAGCAACGCTTCTACAAGGCTTTCCCATTGGGCATGCCCGATCGTCTGAATGAATGAGCGTGCGGAGGAACCCACCCAGGAAGTCACCTCGCTGGACAGTAAATACAGGCGTGTCCAGGCAAAAGGTTCTCTCCCAAGCCTTCAAAGCCAACCTAAGTTTGTAAGACTTAATTTAACCGAGGCGCCTTCAAGGCGGGGTTCGTTACCGTGGTAGTCACGGAACATGCTTGTTCCCCGCCCGCAAGGCCAGGAGCCCGGCCAAGGGCGCCCAGCGGATGCTGAAGAATTCGGTCTTCGCCCGCCTCTCCTCCGGCACGTCTAGAGCCCAGTGTTTTGACTCCCGCGATCACAGCTGGAACCTGCGCGGTCCTCGCCGATGGCCCCCGGACGACTCCGGGCCCGCACCTGGGGGAGAGGGTGGGGGGAGCAGGATGGAGCTCCGGGAGCTCGCATCCGCCAGACCGTGGCGTCGCGCATCTGCAGCCTGGGAGGTGCCCGGGTGGGCGGGGCGGGGGCGGGGGCCGTATGTAGGAGCCCTGCCATTGGCTCAGCCTTCCGGGGGCGGGGCCTCGGGGCCTTGGTCCGCACGGTAAGTGCACTGGCCGGGTCAGGACCCGTCTCCGCGCAGTCCAGCTCTGCGGCTTCTGCCACCCGCGGATTCGCCGCCGCCTGAGCGTCTCACGGTGAGTCTGCGGCGCCGCGGGCACCTCTGAGAGGCCCATCCTGGTAGCGCCCTGTTCCAGCTCGTGCCGCCCCCTGTCCCGCCCGGCCTCGCCTCCCCGCCGGTCCTTTCCCGCGCGCCTCGGCCCCCGTGGTGTCTCCCGCCCGGGTTTCCCGGTCCCGGCAGCCCCGCTTGTGACCCCTCATGTTCCTCGGGACGCTGCGCTTCCCGACCCCGGGCTTCTCCGTGCCCCCTCCATTATGTGCGGGAGCCCGTGCTGCGCCCCTGGGAGCGGGGTGGGGTGGAGGGGCGTCCTCCGGCCGCCTAGGGTCCCCACCGGGGCCGAGGGCCGTAATTTTAGCCGCCGGTGAGGTGTCCTCCTATCTTTAGCTGCGGCTGCCGTGTCCTGAAAGGGATCTGGACGGGGCTGGGCTGCTCCGGGGCCGGGGGCGGGGAGCGG